ACACACACACACACACACACACACACACACACACACACACACACACACACAGCCAGCGAGCCTGCAAACCCGACCATCACCACACCTGAGCGCTGTGAGCTCACTGACAGACGAACCTGAGCTGAAAGGTAAAGAAACAAAAAACAGAAGGAGCAAAAGGCTAGCAAAAAATAAAGTAGCTAAAAGCTATAAGTAGCAAAAAGCTAGCAACAACTAAATATAATAAAAGGCTAACTAAAAGCCAAAAGTAGAAGGCTGGCTTAATGTATCAAAGGTTTAGCTAAAAGTAGCAAAAGGCAAACAAAAACAAAGAGCAGCTAAAAGCTAATTAAAAGCCAAAAGCAGCTCACTGATTGAGTCACACAGACTAAAACCAGGAGCTGTTTGTGGACAGGTTGTCAAGAGCTGGAGTTTATCTGAACAAAACAAACAAACAAACAAACAAACAGGTACAGCATGAATTAATGTTCTGCCTGCAGCGGTGTAGCTTTCGGCTGCTGGACGCTCAGTAACTGGAACAAACGGCTGCTGAAGTCAGACAGTTGTTCCCACATGTTACTGCAGTAAAAACAGAAAGTAAAACTAATTTTCTGTAAAAACAGCGTGAACCCTGAGAGCCGAACGACTTCGCTGAATAAGCTGAAACTAAAGTTGTTAAAGCTCAAAGCTAAATTTTAGCTAAAACAGTAGATCCTGGAGCTCTGAAGAGAAACTGGCTGCTTCAGTCCTCAGGGCTGATATGTAGATGTTAGAAATCTATTTTTTTACTTTTCTTGGCTTTTAAAAGCAATAACTTCAGTTTGTCCACAGAGGGATCTCTGGTTTTAGCTCCGTGTTTGGGAGGAAATTATTGCTTTGATATTTTTGGTTGAAAAAGTAATTTTCTGCGGTTCAGAGGTCATAAAAGCTGCAATAAAACTAACAGCTGAAATTACCTTTTTGGTGAAATCCATGGCTTTAAGGATGGACAGGTTGAGTGTTTCCAGTGAGGCCAGAACTCCTTCATATTCTCCCATGTGTTTGGCAAAGTAGTCTGCACGCACACACACACACACACACACACACACACACACACACACACACACACACACACACACACACACACACA